ATATGTTGGCGCCATTTATTTAAAACAATAATTTGCACAATTTTGTGTAAAGTTACGAAAAAATTAATTCATCTAATTATTTTGATGTAAGATATGCTTCTGTACTTCAAGACATAAACAAGATTTCTGCTTAATAAATTGCATTTTATCGAGATGTATTTGGCTGACCGTGAGATAGCCATGCCGCATTATAATATATACTTCGAAACTTCTCCAAAATTTCGATAAATCGTGAGAACAAAAATTACAATCACTCGAGGAGAATAAACATCTCGTGCGATCCAGTGAAAAACGTTTGCGGGATAGCATTATATGCCCCAGGTGGAAGTATTTTTTTTTTGCATTGCACCAGATCTGATATTATATATTCGTACCTATCTCTTCTATGTAAACCCGAATACATATGTACGTATGCTTTGCATGCATATATGTATGCCCATGTCGGACCACCGGGTGGGTGTTATTAATTCACCTCGTACATCACACAGTCTCTCGGCTGTGGGGGTGGATGCGGTCGCTGAGGCCGCATTACCCGTAGCTCCGCGAGTATCGGGGGAGTGGGCGCGATCGTCGCACGGAGTCTTAACCCGTTCCGGAGCGGCGGTGGCTCCGACGTGAGTAGATGCAGACGCGCGTTTGGTACAAATGTCACTGAGCGAGTGTGTCGCGCGGCGCGGGATGAGCGGAGATCGGGCGGTGGAAACAGACAGATTCGCAGAGATTGACGAGAACGGTCGGTCCCCTTGCGGGGATAACCTGGGAGAAATGGGGAATTACGAGAACGGAGCTCCTTTCGCGCGGAGCGACCTCTCTCGACTCGATATTAAACCCCGGGGTCTGTTTATTAGCCCATTTAGGTAGACGCCAAGGCGGCGAGTCGTAAAGCACACAAAGAAACATGTCGCGTTATTGCGTTTGCGGCGGCGGTGGCGGTGTCGCGCGGTGCGTCTAAAACAAACGACGAGAAATTTATGCATTCACTTAGCGGACGTCGGGACGGGAAGCCGCGAGTTTCCACGGATCTCAAATACGGGGGGGGGTGGATTCGGTCGGAATGTAGGGGATGGGGCCGTGGGTGAGACCGCGCTGTCGCCAACATTGCGACCGCACGCGGAATACGCAATGGCGTGCGAGGGCGATTGCGCGTGAGCGAAAAGTAATTTTCCATTGTCGTTCATGGAAAATAATTCTCATCGTGGTAATGCTGAGTATACCCCGGCTCGAGAGCGCGCTCTCGGGAATTTGCGTAATGGAATAATTTCACTTTCCTGATATAGTGAAACACAATTTCGTTTCGCCGAATAATGTTTTGCCAGGAAATTCCTCGCTTTTCGACGTACGTGTACAATACTTTGTTGTTGGTTTAAATCTATTGTAAATAATGGTATACGATGATTACAAAGCACCGAAGTAAATTGTTAATAAAAACAAAAGCATCGAAAAGTAAATATTAATATTATCATTATCGAATGACATGTTAAAATTCCGTTATACTGATTACCGCGGAGATTGCATAAAATTTTTATGTGTAACTTGTGCTTTATGCGCGTCATAAAGCGCAAGATTTATCTCGCGAGTCGTCAAATATCTATTTGTGAGCAATCACAACGTTTGATATGACCGTTAACCCATTTCACGCTATCGTGCCGTAATCACGGCAATGGAACGTCACAGTCGTTTATGTCACGGTCATGTCTGTTTTCGTTGACACCGTATCATTGCCATCAATTAGATCGGCGCTTTCGCATCGCCGTACTGGCATTTCCCGTTCGACCGTTATACTTCGGACACGGCGGCGACAGCGGAATCCTGTTAGAGAACATCATTACACCGTCAGGATCCCCGCCCGGGCTCCCCGCGCCCGGTGCGTCTTCCCGCTCGTGTTTATCGCTCGCGCCGTGCGGGCGGTGTGTTATTTAACTAGCTGGAAATTAGGAGGGTGAAAAGAGGTCCCCGGTAGCCGCGGTGAAAGGTCGGAGCACCGTAAAAGGAGGAAGGCGAAGGATCCGCTGCCGGCTACTCGAACGGCCGCTCGAGAAACGACTCTGCCATCGTTATGGGCGCACGTACGTACGTGTGTGTTACATACGTATGTGTTACATACGTATACGGGCACACGGTATATACGAATGTGCACCCACGAGGGGAGATAGGAGCTTTGGCCTTGCACCTACCGCGCGTGTAACTAATTGCGTTTGGATTCCGGCCACGATCGCCCGCGGTTTCCGGGGTCCGACTGTGCGAATACTAGCCTCCGCTTCCGCGAATCGGAACATCGGTTAATTACCTGGCCCTCCCGACGTAACGGAATTTACCTCCTTTCACGATCGTTCCTCAAGAAAGGCAGTTAGGCCTTTCTGCAAAATTTGCGGATTGCTCTTTGTTTAATGAACAATTAGACATATCGCCCACACAGGAACGTTTTCGCTACATACAGTTTAAATCTACGGAAAATGCACATTTTTATATTTCTATGTGAATATTTTAGACATCATCTTTGGATATCGCGAAATGTTTTGATTTTTTTTATCGATTCTGAAATATTGGGGGGGGAGAGATTTTTTAAATCAATGTTTTAATAATTTGTACACCGAATAATGGATAATAGTGAAAAATGTGCATCACCAATAGTTGGTGTATTATTTTTTACAATAATCAATAATATACATATATTAAATCCGATTCTAACTTTTTCGAGCACATATTTTCCGATAGTAACGACCGTTTTGCTGGTTTCTTAAATATGTTTATGCATACAATAATTTGCATTATTTTGCTAAGATATGTATATGCATTTCGCGTATGCACAAATACGATTGCATCTTTGCTATCCGAAACACGTCGCGCCACGAAAGAGAGTGTCTCGTATATGTTTATAAATTTAGACAGTGATATAGCATATATGTGCCAGCCGAACGTTTCTCGTCGTTACTCAACGGGTATGATACATGTGCCAGCGAGTCAGAGAAAGAGATCTCAGGGATACGTTTAAGCATCGCGTCGGCTTTAAGACTTCCCTGCTGAGAAAGAGGGAGGGAGAAAGAGAGAGAGGGAGAGAGAGATGGCAGCGACAGTCGTCCCCCTCATGAGCGTAAACTTCGCCAGTGCGCCGACTTGCCGTCACCGCCCATCTGACGCGCAAGACGCGAGTTTGTGCTTGAAAGGCTCCTTGGCAACCACCCTCGCTGACATTTATGGTACAACCTGGTGACAAATGAAACGTCACTGATAAGGGACGCCCGGCAAATTAATGCGTCGCTGCTGGTGGAGTAATAACGGGAGCGGTACTCAACGCTGATGACGAAGTGGATGTCCGATCTTTCCCTCTTGTACCTCCCGTATCGACTTATTGACGGATACTCTTGAATTATAGCGTGTGATCGTGTCTGGCATCCTGAGTAACCGGTGTGCGCACTTTGTGTTTATTTCACAATTTTGTCTTGACGTAAAAGGGATCGGATAATGACGTATTTATGTGTGCGAATAAGATAATCGACAGCTCTTCGCAAAAATATTGTTTAATTAAATTATTCAACGGATTCTTTCTTGCGTTTAATGATGAAGCTCACTAAATTAATCAATAAGAAAAAAAAGTCTAATTTCCTACACAACAAGAAAATGCGTATTGTTCTAAAGCAAATGTTCAGATATCAAAATACAGCAATCTTAATTTAATTGAAAACTCTTCTCGCAAATGTAATCTACCGTGGTTTTATTTATTTTTTCTATTTTGTCGTACCGCGAAACTTCATCAGCGGCATGTTAATTCTGGCATGCACATTGGTTTGCTCCCGTTGGAATATTTATGCGTTCGGTAATCTAACCCGCACGTCATAATCCGGAAATACCGATAATTACAAAAACATCTCGTTTGCAGATCGCGTAGCGTATCGAAATAGAATTCGTTTGTAGAATGATTACTCGTTGTATTGTGCTCTGATGGAAGCAAATTGATTTGCTCGATTTGTACCTTTCTGGATCTGCTTGCGAGCATTTCATTTATCCTGTCATGAGTTATGCACCATTACTTGTGAAATGGATACGCCGAAGTGCGGCGCACCGATTACTACGATCGCTCTGTGTGTGCGGCTTTCCCTCCCCCTTCTCTCTCTCACCCCTTTTCCCCCCCTCCGGCATTCAGAAATCGACCTTATCGCACCGCTATGGTTCATTCGCTTTTTATCCGTTCGAATCTTTCGCGAGCGTGGAAAAGCCGCGCGGTCGGAAAAAATCGAGCTGACGCTCGCGATTGAAAATGGTGATAAATAACGATCACGTTTCATTAGGATAAATCGATGGGTAATAGAATCAGTTGATTATAACTGACAGTGCGGTGATTGGATAAGTTATCGTCCGGTAAAGCGTTGCATTATGCAACATGCGTGTGGCATCGTTGGTCGTTGCGAGCGATGTGGTGCAAACGATGCGGGTGATCGAACACGACAACGTCGAGGACATGGTTCAAGATTCATCTTTATTTTAAACTGATTTTGTTTCGTATCCAATTATTTCTACGTCCGTTTTACTTCGCCATTCCTCTCTTTTACTTTGAAAATCGTTTTCATGCCTGTACTTTATGTCCTGCAACTTTAACACAACGCAAATTGTCGACATGTTTTCCGTGGGCAGTAAGTGAAAAAGTTTGCGTGATGATATAAAATACGCATTCGGCGCAAATAAGACTGTGCGAAATTAGAAATGTGAATCTCTTTCCTCGCTGGTTTTATTCCATGGTCGTTGCTGTGTCACACTGAACTCTATACTGGTATTGCATCGGAAACATTTTGCGAATTATGATTGATATTGATTTTGATTTCTTCTTTTTAACGAGAATTTAGATATAAATTCAAATACTCGTAAATCTTATAATAATTAATATTAATATTTACGAGCTAAATTTAGTATATAATAATCAGTACTTATATAATATTATCAACATAGATAAACATTTATTGATTTTTTATATAATTCGTTTATATATAAACGCGCGGTATATCTCAGCAAACTATTACAAATGGATATATCTAAAACGTTACGAAACGCTGTTTTATTCTTTTTGAAATTTATGGCCCAATGCAAAACATTTACATGGCAGGGGATGGGCAGAAAATGGAATTTAAATGGGAAGTGAATGCAAATATTCAGCTAACCTTCATTCTTCTTATTCATCCGAATAAAAAACGTTTATCTGAAATAATTTTTTTTTTATTTGATACATCTGTAAGTTGCGAATTTGACTTTATTGCTGAGTTATGACGATTTCAGTTTATAGTAAATTTCCACAGTTACCTTAAAACACTTATTGATTCATTACGCTTTATTAACGAATAGGCGTTGATAATGTTGATATTATAAGTTATAAATAAATATATTTTGCGTAAATAATTTTTATAAATATAAAACAGTATTATATGTTTATATGTTAAAAATTCTCTTTGAAAACGTAATAAATATTATAATTACAAATATTCTTAGGCAAGAGTTGCCTGCTCTTATAAAAATATAACGTATCAAACATTCATTTTGTTATATGACTGACCTTTTTTTTTGCAATATTTCAAGATGCTTAAACATAAAACACTTTACTGCAAACTGCGGGACTTGCACAGACGCATAAATTTTGCCTTTCTTTCTAGGATTTTTACCTTTTTATTTCAAGCTGTAATAAAGCAGTAGGATGATAAATATTCTTATTTATGCGCGTAAATATTTTTAGACCGCGGATGCATTCGACGAAAATGCAAAAACTATATTCAAATGCCGGAATATAATGCGTTCGTTATATACGTCTAATCTGAAGAAGAGTATCAGCGAATCTCTCGTAAGAAAGCGTAAAGGTCGGCGTAACGCGCGCATTTAATAGCGAGAGAGCTTATTCCGCCGCGAAATGCTTGAAGCGTAAAAATATTTGTCGTCGACAGGGTTATAACCGCCGTGAGATTATGCAGATTCTTTATGGCGGCGCAATCTGCACAGAATTTACTATTCCACCGACGTCACTTTGCGTTATAATGCAAAAATCACTTTAACCGACGCGAAACGCAACGAAATGTCTCGGCGACGTGGAATCTCAGTATCTTACTCTCTCTCTCTCTCTCTCTCTCTCTCTCTCTCTCTCTCTCTCTCTCTCTATCTATCTATCTATCTATCTCTATCTCTCTTGAGTTAAAGAGCTTTATTTGCAAACACCTCTTTAAAAAGCATCCGAGCATCATTGGAATGGCATAGCCAAGCTGTCGGTGGAGGCCAAAATAAATAGCCTTGATTTAACGAGATGTTCCGCAACGCCCTACCCGCTAGTCTGCTCGACCGGGTCCTGAAATATGGGTCACGCCGTTCGGAATTTTTTCATATTATAAAATTATATTCCTCCAGATTTATACGGAAATCGTGGCAGGAATCCCGACAAGGCGAACTTGGGCAGACGACGCGCCGCGGCGCGCCGGAAAAATTATGAGGGCGATATTAAATTTCAACTGCGATTTTAATTATGGAATAAGAACAAAAGAAACGTTTTTTATCCATGAGACGCACAGATTTCAGCGTATGTCGGACGTATGTATATGCACATTCATATCGAATTGTATGTTATTTCCGCTTATTATTTTTACATTTTACCTCTCCTGACGTAAACGGGAAATAGTATATGTTTGTTTCTTTGTCATAATTGTGTCTCGAAACGTAGAAAATGCATCATTCCAAATTCCGTTAACATCTCTTTCGGCTCACGCTATGTATTCCATGGCATTTTCCATGCTAGAGCGTTACTCCGTTCGTATATTGAAACATCTTTCATCGTCGCTGCAATTTTAAATTCGGAATCGCTATTCAGAGAATAAATCTTGTCTCCGATCGCGAGATTATTTAGTCATTCTCGCTAACCGCGGGATTTTAAAAAGCGTTAATAAATATTTTTTAAGCAATTTTTACTTTTGCTAAATAAATTCCACTAAAATATCATAAAATATATGTTGAAACATATTATAATAAATAAATTGAGATTATTTATATCGTTGCTTATTCTCTTTATTGCTTTAAGATGTTGGCGCATTGTCGGAACGTAAAAATTTAAAAAACGCAAAGTGGTATTTTCCGCGCGAAGAACACAATTTTGAAATACAATAGTTTACAAAGTTCCTGATTGTAATGAACGAATTCTAAACCAGTATTTTCAAGTAAAATCTTCAAACGGAAGTAAATTTTTTTTTTTTCAAAATTCTTCGGCGCGATAGAGCCCGAGGCGAAAGTTCGTGTGATCAATAAAACCATGGAACTTTCTGCCGCGTACTAACTTTTCGCGGAAAGTACCCCGACCTTCCCCGCTTTTCCTCGTCAGCCGTACGAACGATTTGACAGCACCGCTGTTCGATGAAATAGCGACGAGGTAGGAGAGTGGACGAAGACGAAAGAGTGGAACGAGGCAGCCGGAAAACTCGTTGGGCTTTCTAACTTCGCCATTCCCTTTAGTTTCTTTTGGCATTTCTCCGGTACCGCCGTACCTCTTCGCCGTGACCGCAACGCGCGGTGCACAGCTACGTTTTCTTGAACGAAGCATCCACTCATTCTAGCAATAATGTTGCAGGCAGCAGAGGGATGGAGATAGAAAGAGAAAGCGCGTATCGTCCCTTTTTCAAGTTGCAACGGTGCAAATTGGTGGAGGTGTAGGGAGGGAGAGCGTGTACGAGGCAAAAGAGCGCAAAGGCACCTTCTTTCTCTGTCCTCGCTACAGATTCCACATACAGCTTGCTCGCCTGTATGTGCTTTTTGCGCGCTCATTGATTTTACTAGCCGCGCTTCGTGTGTATGCTGACGCGGCTCCCGCGGCCATTGAGGATCTCAGCATGGTAAATTGCTTTCTTCGTGGAATTTTACCTTGCTTGCCGCGATGAAACTTCTCTTTTTCAACATTGATTTTAACGTGAAGCGAATACTTAATGTATCTTTTTTTTTTATAAACGGAACGTATTTTTGCGCTTGAAACAATCGTTTGTACTCTAGTTTGTGCCGATTCATTATTGAATATATGTTATAGGATTTTCATTCTTTTGTCGATTGTAACAACCATTAGAATTATTTATTTGGATAGAATTGTAGTTCGTGCTTGCGAGATTGACGAAAATTGATTCTGCGTTGTTTCTGAGTAAGGATACCTTTACGAAAACCCGTTCGAATGTGCGGAAGAGCCATTGTCCGCTAGGAATGACAAATTGTACTTTAAAGCGCTCACTGAAAGCTGTTCTGACGCACAACCGGAATATACCGGATCCGAAAGCTCTGCTATGGATGACAAATCGTCGTAGCAGGTGTTTGCAGGAGATACGATCTTATTCGGGACTTATTCGCATGTCTTGTGCCTCTGAAGATGGCTTAGAGTTTACGACGTCTGATAATAAATTTTGACACCTGCTTTGACAGAGTAATAGCAGATTTAATCGTCTCGCCTGAGCTTTTGTAACGTATTGCAAATATTACGATCTGTGAAAAAAACGGTCGTTTTACATGGTAATTGTGTTTGGTCTACTTAATGACGCAATTCGTACCGACAATGAATGTACTCACGCGGAATCTTGATTGGGTTTACAGTTACCTAGTCTTATTACTTCCGTAAATGATATTGATACTGTATGGAATATTGAAGCGAGATCGATTGGCGAGCGGATGGAAACTATTAGTTCATAACAACGAGTATATGACACTTTGCTACATGTAGCGAATGCCGAATCGATAATTTAAACTTGTTTGTCCCGCAGCAGTTTGCCAGCGGTTGGAATGTTTGGAAATTTTGATTGTTCAACCCTGCTTCAGTTAATCCTAGTTTGCTTGCTGTCCAAATATTCAGGGAGTTTCCTGATATTAGCTTCAAATCTCATTTCTCATATCGTTCCTGGCTACGTTCAACTCTCTTTGAATTTGCTTCTTTATATGCTCATTACTATTTATAGAGCAGATTTCATTCAAAATTAAATTTTTAATCATCTCTCGCGGAAGAATGTTACATCGTCTGTAATTGATGTTTATTTTACAAATTTTACATTACATAATTACAAATATTTTAAGTGAATTTTTCCAACTACAAATCTTGTAACGTATATAAAATTAATTTTTTTTTTTTCGGAGAAATTTTAAATGAGGCTTAATTATAAGATTATTTAATATTAGATTATTTAATATTAAATGAAGCGCTTGTGGTGAACTAAGTTTTATGTTTAAAGATGTTATCGATCGAAGATGTTTCAACATTAGCAAAGTAAACTTTCGCATTTAGGAAGAGTGCCAAGGCGTGTGTCTCAGCTCGCGATCAGCGACGGCTCTTCTGAAGCGAATCGCGAACCGTTATCGGCAACTCCGCTGAAAAGTTTATCAATGGCGTGAAATCGCCCGCGGCACAAATCTGAAAAGACGTAGAATGAAAACGTAAATCCTTCGTCCCGCGAGTCCATATTTCCGGAACGAGTCCGTCCCATTCTAGCGCCGCCATCGGTGGTAGGAACGAGGAAGCGATTTTCGAGAATATATGGCACGGACAGTAACGATAAGGGATTGAGCATAATAGGGGGACCGCTTCCCGCGGACATAGTTAGCCGGCACCATGAAAAATACTAATGGGCCGACCGAGGAGGTCACTCGGCCCGCGGAGGTGAATTTAACAGGAGGGAACGGTGGAGAGCGTGCGCACAAAAGAGATAAGTCCGTTGAACGGTCAGGTTTTGAGCGCGTAATATGTGAACCGCGAACAAAATTCTTGTTCGGTGCAAAAGAGCCACGGCACTTAGGGGGGTTCCTGGACCGGCTGACGTGAGGAGAGAACGCGTCGTTCGCACGACTGCCGCTTGACTCATGTATACCCGCTCGCCTATGCACGTGAGTTTTACGATCTCGTTGCTCTTCTGTGTGTGTGTGTGTATGTGTGTGTGTGTGTGTGTTACTGAGCGCCGTACGGGCGCCGTGCCGCGCCGCGCCGTTTCCCATCTCGTCTCGCGTCATACAGCTGCGTCGGGATTAACCGATTTTCTCTTTGGACCCCCAGGCTCCCGTAGGCTGGAAAAGAGAGTCGTCCGTCTTGCGCGATTACATTACTCGCACGCTCGACGCACGTCCGTTACCTTCGCGGCACGATCGTCAGATGTTAGCCCGCAAAAAGTGCGACTTCCGAGCCAGGCGGTGAACATCTCGAGCGCGCACTTCTCAATTCGTTAGATATTTATGCGCGTTTTAGCGCGAGCGCGAACTCGCGTCTGATTTGCCGTGCAGTCGCGAAAAGCATTAGTCTTCGAGCTAACGCATTGAAAGGATGTTCTAGTAGATTTGCATTTATGCAAAGGAATTTATGCGATCAGCGAGTTCGGAAATTGATGTACAATTGATGTTACTTCAAGACCCAGTTTTCGCACTTATTCGTCGCAATTTTTTTTCCTGAGCCACTGTTTTCGATGATAGTAGCAAAACGGTGAGTGTTGATTAAAAGCGTTTCGAATAAGCTCATAAATTAATACAGCCGATTATGAATATAATTATCTTGAAATGAATTTAATATTAGATAAATGGCAATTATGGAGTATCAGATCAGTAAAATATTTTGATATATTATGACCTATCATTTTCACCAGTGATTAAATAGCTAATAAATTAGTAGACGTAGAAAGGCAAACCGAATTATTATATTGATAATTAATTTGTTTATTAATTTGAGACTTAATATTATTTTAATTATTATTTTAATAGGGGAATTAATGAATTTTCTGCTCGAATACCGTTCAATTTAATCGCAAAATACTCTAAATGGCGTAATGATCATTTTAACCGGCAATTTCTAACGGCGTCGCCAATTTTACGTTTGTAAAGACATTAGACGGCGCAGAATAGAGAGATCCTTAGCGGTGAGATGTATGGGTCTTCTGTCAAGACGAACGAATAAAATCTGCGGGATCGCGGGCAAATTAATGAAATGCAGATTGCATTTAAGAGTGCGCGAGCTGCCTTCCGCCTCTCCGCTTTCGTCGCGTTCGCTTTGGTGGCTTGGTGCTGAGATTTAATTAGTGCCATCCACCGTGAGAGATCCGAGAAACACTCACCTTCTCCTCCTCCCTCCGCGTTCCAATCCTTCCGGCGGTTCTCGTCGCTTTCGGAAGTTGTTAATTAAGAAGCCGACTGACAAAATAGTCGTTCCGAAAGCATTCTCGGCCGCCTATTGCAATCCGGATCTCAATATCATCTGCGAGCAGATATATAAGTTTTGGCGATTCATATTCATCTGTGCTCAAGCAGTCCTTATCTCTTAGAATTGCGTATACAAAACTTCAAACGTATACGCGATCTGCACGTTCATATGCTAAATTACCACCATGTTATTAAGTTATAGCCTTTTATCTGAAACGTGCAATAAAATTGATTTTTCCTTAGCATTTTATTAGATACAGCTTTATGATTTTAATATTTATCTCAATAATTAAAATTCCGAATTAAAATTTCAAAAATAAAATTTATTTTATGTTACGTTATTATTTTTGAATATGATTTGCAGAAAATTGAAAGAATAGAGGTTTATTTTGAATATTCTGTCACATTTTTTGATGATTAAAAATTAATCTAGATTTCATTAAAATCTCTTAACTGGATGATAACTGAATTAATTGAAAAAATTAGTGATATTTTTAAGATATTTTAAGACACTAGCAATTTAAGCTGCACTATTACGCTTAACACAATATACGAAATTAAAGATACGAATATTTTTGCTCATGCATTTGACTGCGTGTAAATATATCTTCATTTTTTACGATGTATGATCTAAACATGAATCTTTTGCTGCTGTTTCTCCCACTGTTTTCGATATTCGTAATTTATATTCAATGGCATTTATAATATCACACGCTGTGCATGTGATCTGGACCGTTATAATTTCCAATCCGCCTTGAAATTAAAACATGGTTTTTGTTTGAGATACCAACGCGTATATTTTGGTAATTTATTTTCGAACACTTTGAAAATATTTTGATGACACAGTCACAATATTGATCGACAGGTCCTATTTTTTTTAAAGCGCGGACGAAAAATAATAAATTTCAAAATATTTTGTATTTTTTAGTTATTAACGTCATTTTTTCACATGTAGAATTGCATCGGGCAAAATATCGAATTTTGAGAATGCTTACTTTTGATTTGGAAATTTATTATTCAATCCGAAGATAAAACAAGATTTAAAAAATAAATACTCTGATATAAGAGAATTTATATCTTCTTTTTACAGTAAAATTGCCCTTTTTTGTTCAATAATTGAAAAAAATGAGGATATATTTTTACATCAAAGTTTTTCTACGCAGTCAACCGCACATCGTTGATATCGTTTTACATAAATATGTGAGGTTTATTTTATATGAATCATGCAAATCGATAAATCTATACGGCCACCTAACTTAGAAAGCGTGTCTTCACTGAGGAGCCAATACTGCAAAATCTAGCCTAATTAGGTTAATGGATAATGGGAAAACTTGGCTCGCGTTGACGGTTTATTGTTGGATACCGGCTCGACGGAACTCAGGACAGCGCATAGCTTATTCCAAGTTTCGCTGCCGCAGATATCCCGGGCGTCTACGTCGTTTACGTTGGATTTCTCGTTTCTCATTAAGCAAGAACCCGGACCAATCCATTCGCGTGCGCGTGAACATGTTCGCATATCGCGTGGTATAATTATTTGCGATATTCCTGTAAATGAACCCATCAGATATAACCTTGTAAACGAGTTCCACCTCCGAGTATCTATTGATAATAATTGCTTTCATATAATCAATAATAAGTTGAATTTGGCCGCGTAGTATAATATAAAACCACAAATAAATTTGAGAGTGCTTTTTACAGTCATACAGGCTAGATCTAAGTACCTAATATTTTTATGTTAATTCTAAATCCAATAATTTAGCCATTTTAAACTGCGCGCCGAATTAAGTCGAACTTACATAGGCAATCATAGGCTGAAGCTGGATTAGTTAGATTACAAATAATAATACGATGCGAATAAGCATCTTAAAACATTGCGAAGAAGTTATCGATAAGATTATGTATCGAATAATGTAATTGTTTTGCACAGGAGATTACACGTCAAAATTCAATCACTACTATGCTAAAAATACAATCGCACTTGCAATCGCATCGTATTTTTTCTCAGAACTTTTACAAATCATACGATAAATAAGGGCTTAAATTGAGCTTTCGTATCGTGCCTTTGAAGCACAATTCTGCTGTTATGATTAGACAATTAAACAAATTTCATAAGGATAAGACTCAGTTTATTCGAAACAAATAAAATAAAAACAATAATGAGCTACGAGCCAAGCTGTATCTACAAGCCAATCCATTTGCGTGCGCGTGAACACGTTTCTGTATCCCGTGGTATAATTATTTGCGATATTCCTGCAAATGAACCTATGAGAAATAACCCTGAAAACGAGTTCCAACTCCGAGTAGTATCTATCGATAATAATTGCTTTCATGCTTCAATTCACAATCGAAAGCTTTCCTCTACCCGTGAACTGTTATATTCTTGCGTCGCTTCCATATTTATAGCGTATATTCAAATGTTTCGCAAGTACAAGTTTCGGTCTTAACGATGATTTAATGATGAATATTTGTCTGAATAACTAACAGCTGCGTAATTTCTTTTTTTCGTGCAGCGTTTTACATTCATAAAAATAGAACGTCGCGTACACCGACAGGATGCGAGGTCCACGAAAACGAATGAGTTAAAGCAGTAGAAAATCTGATACGATTAATTTAAGTGCTGAGTTACTCGTTTGTAATGCACATTATCCTTTCGTTTATGTATATATTATAATAA